ATATTCAGTGACGGATCTCAACGCATGACCCATAAATGTATACTTGCAAATAAAACATTGGTGGAAAGCTGGCATTCAGTGTCTATTGAAGACCCAATACAAAGTACTGCTGCAAATAGGGTTAGTAACAGATTTAGTTCGTCGCGGTCGCGTCCAAGTCAGACAGACTCCCACACATTTGGGAAAGCACCAGAGGGCCGTTTCGACCAGTGGGGTGGGTTCCAACCCAATGACTTCCGGATGCCAGCAGCCTGCGTCACTAAACTATGGGTGACGGCGGCGTAGCTGCATTTCCGGGAGTTGACTACGACATGGCGCGTCTCGTCTTCCACTGTCATGACAGTTACGAAATGTGCAGAAGAGACCTGAGTAAATGGGGTTAGCTTGAGTCGATTTAGTCCCACTGAAACGGTATGTGATAGATACGACATCACCACTTGCATCAGAGCTCCGCTCACAAATGGAAACTGTGAAGTCTCGTTAACTGATGACAATGCCAACAGTCAAACAATTGCATAATTACATTGCAAGCATTGATAAGTACAGTATTTCGGATGTTCAGAAGCATAATGCGGGAAAATAAGCATATAAATACAAAATCCCCAAATTATGTCAAAATTACGCGGCATGATGTAAAGGATCACGCTAATCCTGAACACCAGTAGGTGCACCGGGTCTGTTCAGTCGAGCAATACGTTGCTTAACCGACCACTGAGGAAGTTAGAGCGTGATTTGTCGAAGATTAAGGCTGTAGATGACACACCGACATGGCAATTTGGGTCAGAGTACTGGTGACACAATCGTCATTCACCACTCTGTGGAGGACGGCACCCAGCAAAGCTTTGCTAGATGAGATACCAGCAAGTTATACACTGCTGAAAAGATTACCAGCGTAGCTCACTGGACACGTTGCGAACCTGCTGGGCTGCATAAACCGGGTTGCTTCTCAACAATATCCATAAAAAGCTTGCAGATGATGACAAGGACAAGCCAGGAGTAACCAGTTTCATACTTACATTTCAACCCAGATGTTTGCTCCACGCCTCACGTTGTCAAGTGCTTCGCGAACGATGGGGATTAGTATAGCAAACCGGCCTGGTTTTCTCCCAACTAGCAGATTCAGCAGGTTGGCGGATACTTGCAGCAACATTCTTTCAGAAGGCCATCATGGCATCAATAAATTGGAATTTTCCTGAACTTAGATACACTGGATGTTTCTAGAACGATCTCGTAATTGCCAGGAAGTATTGTGTTGCTGGCTTCGAGTCATTTTACACTAGAACCATACAGTGGAAATACCGTGACCGCAGGTATTACCATCTATGAATACCGAATTAAGGCTCCAGGATCTTTCAGTAAAATAAAGTTTTCTGAAAGGGCGGTATGCGTTGTAAAACTACATCTTAGTGGGTCTCGATTGATTTCAACCGAAGCTCTATGCATCACTGCTGGATACCCATTTGTCATGTACTCAGAGTAACTATGTGTAGCGTACAAATGGGTGTTTCTTGATTCATGCAAACTGACCACTCCGGCCGTCCCACACGGTCCCAGGCCTCCTATTTCATGACACCGCATGACACCATATATGGAGCCGAAAATATCAACATATGAATGGCAAACAAAATGACATAAACTGAAAACTGTTTTCTCGCTCGTTTACCAAGTGGAGATTTACTTTATACTTTCACTAGGGCAGGCAGTAGGAGAGTGGCCCAACTTCACGGAGAAGCCTTAGTCTTTCTCAACACGGTGTGATAGGCACTTGGTTGACGACTGTTGTAGGCTCGAGCGAGCTTGATGAAACTAACAGGTTACTTTGCGTGCCGAAGTGCTTGAAACAAACGAGGAAATGAACCGTGAGGAGAGGAAACAACGGATGATATAGATTACCTTATTACCTGCAGTCACACGTGATATACCTTCAACTTGATGTCGACCCGATAATGGGAGACCGGTACAGATGGAACTCTTAGGTTACCTAATAAGCAACACCGCTTCATTAAAATCCTTAATCGTTGGGGTAGCAAAGTCGGTGACTGTGTTTGGTCGTGACGTGGCCTGTTAACTCTAAGTAACCGTGGTGAGAACTGCCGTACCCACGGACACTGAGAGCAGCCGACACAATGTACCAAACAGTATCCGGGTAGTCGTTCATAAAGCGCCGTTGAACGTCAAAAGTACACTACATATAAAGGTGCTCTGTACATGAAAGTGAAGGCTCGAGAGACAGTGAAACAACTGAACAGTGATATATAACGGTGAAAGAAGCCAAAGTTTAACAAACCCCATAGGATGGTTGAGATAAAAACAGACAACTTAGCTGAAAAGCATGCCAAAAATTTGAGCGCGTACCGGTGAATTCCCCGAAATGTTCAAACGACTGTAGTGTGTGGAATTATGTCCACAGGTTTCCAAGTTACGATTACAGTGTTTGGTTACGGTATGTAGCCACTTGGTGATCACAAGCCGTGTAGCAAAGTGCGAGTGGAGTACTACGTCTGCAAGTCCTTTTCATTTAACGTTGAACTGGGCAAGAAACAGCGTAAGTTGTGAGGGAGTTACACAGGTAGCACGAACGAAGGCAGAAGCTTTCGACGGTATTAGGGCCGACTACACTGATGGCCAGTTAGGTTGGTGTAATGACTACATTCTAGGAGGGTGGGCGGTGGGTGAAGATACTTCAGGATTTGGCAAGCACTAAGGAATTCCCTCCACAGACGTCGGTACCAAACACCAGACCTTTCGGGGATTTTAGTCTAAGTTGTTAAGGCAGATGGAAGAGGTCCCCAACATTTTGGATGTCTTTTGTTACGGAGTCTCAAGTGCAGCGAGATAGCGCTTCTGCCAGGGATTTAAATCCTGGATGTCGCATTCCATGTGGGACGCACATAGTCGAAGGGTCAGACTGGTCAAGGGTTCTGCGCAACATGCACCGAGTTAGTTACCACACGAAATACTAGTGGAGGAAATGGTGGGACTGGTTCCTTTGATGCAACACCTCATTACTACTCCTTTAACCAATGACATTTTACATCGAATCCAGTTTATTCTGTATATTCAGGCCATCCCATGAACTACTGGTTGTTCCTACTCTATTGAAATTCCTAAAGGAACGCCTTCTACTTACTGTCTAAGCTTTGGTGTTGCGTCATTCCGAATCTCAAGGTGCTGCTCGTAGAGATGCTTAAAATGAACACATCCGCATCTCTAAATACATGCCTAAGTACCTGAAATCGATGCGAAGATTAAGCTGTCCGTGAAATCGCGAAATGCACAATTGCCATTCAACAGCCGTTGAATTCCTATGCTCGGTGAATAAACCAACATCTCAGTAGTGAGGGTTATACGGACACTCTCAAGCCCTGGTATGATCACTTGTGTTGTCCAAATCTGAAACATACCTTGTGCGTACTTCTAGCTTATCTGATACGTTTACCTGCTTCATCAATGTTTCTGGTGTATTTCACGGACAGATCAACGTGTATGTATTAATAACGCCGGAATTTCAGCTCTAACCTTTTTATCTAGGCTTCATTCATCAGTCATCTTCCGTCTCATATGGACACAGAGCTGTGATCACCATAACGATCGTGCCGCCATGTGGTCAACCTGGTAAGTGCTCTACCTGTGTGACTGAATGAGCCTGATTAAATGATTGATCCGTATGTTATGAAAGACGTGGTTGCGCATGATGAGAATGCTGTCAAGAAGCAGCCACCGCGTTCACCAAGTCCATTAGGGTGCTGATCAGTAGTGCGGGAGATAGTATGCGTAGCACCCGTTACAGCGCTAGGTGCATGAATGCGCAGTCGTCACACAACGGGCCACTACGGAGACACCGTCTCATGCATGTCCACGGTGTGTGTGCTTCCACCAATTAAACGGGAGTGGGTGACCAACAAGTACCATGCTCAAAATAGCCCGATGAGTAAAAAAGTGCATATTCCGTAAGGAAGAAAGACGTAGTTGCAGCTCATGAAGTACGTTTTGTCCCAGAATATGTTCAAGCAGAGCTACCTACTCAGCAGGGAGCAGCGTTTCCGTGCGGACAACACCCAATTTCCATGCGCTTCAGTTGCGGTCCTCAAGATCGAACTGACCAAGGTTCACTTCAATACCAATCCTGGTCTACACCGAGACTGCGCGTTTCGATCCATTCATACAACGTGTAGTTCAAAACAACCATGCAACCCGTTTTCAACTGTTGTGTCAAGCTTCGTCTATCGTGATCCGGTGGCTTAGAGCTAGAGATTTCAAGTAACATCCCAATGGTCCCGGGTTCGTGGCCAGTTAGCCCTACCTGCTGAGATCAAATAGGGTTGGAACGCGTCTTGGAGTACAATGTTTTCGGAGAGCAACGTCCATTTTCCTTCATGCATTCCTTCACATACTTGCGTGGTAACTGGTTTGATTAGATTAGTTAACTTAATTACGAAGCCAGGGAGATGTAGCTATGAGACCAGAGGTAACACGGGCCTATGGAAGAAAGCTACTATAACACTAAGCATAGATGGACCTCGTCCAAATTGCACGCAGGATTTTGGAAAACAGGATACTGTCTCTTCTCGCTCACATGTGCGTTCGAGTAAGCCTGTAACTTGGGTATCACTTCTCCCTATCCTCATATTTCTGCCTCTGCACATAAAGCATCCCAGGGCCGTTTCTACCTAGAGTCTCAGTCAACACAGATTCAACTCAGCAATAGAGAAAGCTTTTCTCTAACTAAATCAGTACCGCAACTGTAATTTTGGAATCAGCCCTGTCGGTACCAGAAAGCATCATGGATCAAAACTTGATGTACAAGATGTTCATTCAATTAGCATGCAGTCGGAAGATTGTAAATCAAGAAGGAAATACACCCTATGATTAGTATTCAACCACTGTTTATTTACATCTGGCTTGGACCGTAGAATTGGCGTTATTAGCGTTTGTACTTACTAGCGGTAAGGTGCAGACATGACAATGATCACAAGCGATCCAATCTGGGATGCACTCACCTGGTTTTGGTACCACTCAATGAACATGGGATGGCTGATAGTGCTGCAAGCTTGATGGAATGCGGCTCCGATGCGCACTTTCTGTGTTACTGGACGTAAGAGGAAATCAGCTACAAAGTGGGAGAATAAGCACTTCGTTGACAACGAATACATGTGCGAAAACACTGCAATACACTAACAGAATACCGCGTGGTAGTCAGGACAAGTCTTATTGGAGTGAGTAGGGCACTGCAGATGAGTCAGATCCATTGGAAATTGTTATTCGGTGGGTTATACATCTCACTCACATTCATGGGAACAGTGCTTCTCATGACGGCCACATTTGAATTGGGGTAATGATTGAGCACAATAATCCAACAAAAAGCAATCATCAAATCAAGTCAAGTCAAAGTAGACGTTATGCACCTGGGTAAGTGCAATTTCAGCTTGTAACACTATCACTGCGGATAGTGTTATATATGAAATAACTGTCGGAAAAAATAAAAGATCTAAAAATGTCGACACATATAACTCGTGCAAATAATTTTGCATTTTTATGCTAGTTTTGGTTGGGTCAACAAGCAAACAGAACAGGTACGGTAGAAGCGAATTGCGGTAACATGCATTACGAGAAAATAGAAGCTTACATTTGGAACGGACGAAGGACATAGATGGTGTTTTTGATAGTTCGCAACGTAGTGGATGAGGAGGGTCGTTTAGAATTTAGAAGAAAAAGCTGATACAGGATTATAGTGCTTGCTTACAATAAAATTCACGAGACTCCAGTATTTTTGAGTAACCAAAGGAAGATTACAGGGGATCAGTAGGGCCAGTGCAGCAGTATACATGCAGTCACAAACCTAAGAATCAAATCACGGGTTATTGAAACTACTTTAAGTCGAAGAGCGTAAAATGACAACAGACAAGGCTACTAGCCAATGACAGTGTCCCAGGTTTTAGGGCCCATAATTGGAGATACATTGACAGTGTTAACTGTGCTTGAGAAACAAACCAATCATCTCAAGTGACAAGCTGGTGTTAAAATACACACAATTCGAATCACAACATTTCTCAGTAATTGCTGACCACTCGGAAGCTTTCATACGACTAGTTATAAATGCTAGGTATTAATACACATCTTAGCTGAAGATGGAATGACCAGAACTGCCCTAATTCCTGTTAAGTACACTTCAGGAATTTAAAACATTGACTGAAGCGATTAGCTGAGGTACTTAAGAACGTAATGAGACAAATGCTGAGCTCATGTTACACGGGTCTATGTGTGGGAACTCACCTTTTACTTTTTCACTGAACAAAACAAAGAGTAGGATGAGACAAGTAACTCCATCATCTCTAGTCCGCATGTTGAGGTAAGGCCTACAGGTCGAGTGTCCCCGAACTCCGATTACAGAGTCTCTCGACACAACGTGTTGTACTTAACCAATACGTGGACTAATGTCATGACGACGCTTGGTTTCAGGTCTACAGGGAAATCGATAAGATGTGCGAGAGCTGGAGGCGGCCTTGACCATGTTTCTTCCATGGAAATGAATTTAATCATTATGGCTATGTGCATTGGCTAGCAAGCCTTAATCGTAATCATTGAAAGAGCTGGTCACAGGGTAAATGGAACTCTACCAATTAGCTGCGATACAGCATGAACTGCAACAGAGTTTTATTCGGAAAGCAGGAAGTTGGTTCCGGATGATCTGGATGGATGGTAATGCTCATTGTTATTCGGACTGCATTCAGCTCTTCAAGAGGACTAACAGGAAGCCACAATTCATAGAATGTATAGGGAGCAGATATTTTAAAGCCAAAACCAAAATAACTTCACACCTACGGTTCAAATCCATCGGGGGACAAGTTGACTATTAAAGGTAGAATATGTTGCTTCTGATAAACCTATGAGATAGATTTAACCGTTTACTGCTTCCTTGCACACAAGACAACTTTGTGTTAACAGAGACCTAATCACGTTGATCCCCATCAGCGATAATGTCAAAAAGGCATACATCGGCAACTTTGTCGCTAGAGGTTAAGAAACGGCATAATTGTGATGAGAGCTTTGAACCACTACAACAGCGAAACACGGAAAACCATTAGGTGCATAGTCTAAGATAATAACGCAGGATATAAAATATGCGGATTATACTGGCAAAAAGTGGAAAAAATGTAGAAAGTACGTGGCTGATCGATGAGGAGAATCGCCACCTTAACGACCCACCCGCTGTTTATAAAGCGTAAAACTTGGAAACCGAGCCCATACCTTCCTGTCCTTAACTTGCAACAACTGGCGTTAGATGCAATGCCGATTTATCTTTCGTTCATACAACAGGCTATGAATTTCATCAAACCAGCGCTCATACTGAATTCCGATGGCATCCACCTATGCGCCATTAAATTTGGTGGTTATGACAGATCAATGCTTCTGTTGCATATGTTCATGTGCTCGTTAGGATCCAGCCATTTTCCGGATAAATGGAAAACATCCTCGTCCTAAAGAGAGGACCAAACAGAACGTCACTATGTGTCGGTCTATCCATCACACTCTCCCCATTGTTAGATTACTCGAAAAAGTAAGTAGAAATGGAATCATGAGCTTCATCTATCGTATTGTACAGTCTAACAAGTCCCAGCTTAGGTTGGTCGATAAACGTTCCTGCACAACTTGTCAGTAGCTCAACATGGATTACGACACCTAATCCACCGACTCCAATTATGCGGTTATAATGTCGTTCATAGATATGCTACCAAGTGCTTCACAAGCGGCTACTGAAAGAACTCGAGTCATTTATGATCAGAGACCCACTACTGGGTTGCTCGACGTCATACTTAAATGGGCGTCACCAGATAGTCAATTTGAGTAATCACAACTCTTTCTCTCCTCCGATAACTAGTCTTGTCATCCAAGGGAGCGTACCTGGTCCTTCCCTATTCCAGTTGAGTTATGTACAGAGTCTCAGAACATATCAACAATGTCACGATGTTCACCAAACGTGACAGGCCAACTTTTTTTGCTAATGACATTAAGACTGTTTAGGAATTTTGACGAGACAAGCTGCAAAGCACAATATTACTCGCTCAAAAAGACATCGATTCACTAGAGAAATAGTGATACATAGATGAGTAAGTTATCAACTAGTAAATTATGCGTTATGTCACACGGAGGTTAGGTCACTGAAGAGTAAGTTAAACTGAATAATGAACGTATCTCTGTGAAACTATCTAAGTGTGATTTAAGCGTACGATACTCTTCAAACTTGAATTTCTCAGAGCAGGCTGAGTATCAAATAGCTCGCGCCAAACGCCATATGGTTAACACATGCCATAAAATCCATAGAGTCCATGCCAGAATCGAGCTTTTCTAAATGCTCACACTTCCTATCCTTAAATACTGAAGGATTGTTTATATGAACATGCGTGTAGGTGGTGGGAAAGCTCTACAAAACCTGAAGAGATAATTCACTAAACGTTCGTTCAGTAATTCCTCCACCCTGATATATCAGGAGCGTTACTAGCGGCCTAACCTCGATCGTCTTTGTTAGCGACGACTGAATCATAATCTGACGCTCATATACAATCTCATAAATCAGGTGACATACCCCAATCTGTGTACATTAGAAGTATAACATAACTTCACCAGGAAACTTCGCAACACGACATGGGAACTAATTGTGCCAAGAACCAGGACAGCTATTCAGTCCAACTTCTTCATCTTCTGATACACTGCAGTGTGTACTAGCATACCAGCCAATATCAGGTCCTGTACACATGCGAGAACATTCAGGATTAAAGTTGGAAATCGATAATGACCGTTTTTCATCCAGCAAATCACCAAACGAATTCTTCTAGGATGCACCAGGGAATATGCAATCCATGTGAAAATAAGTTGCACAAAACTCAGCAACAACAAAGTCCCGTGTTTCAGAGAGATTAGATGACATATGCTCCGGAACACATGTCTCATCTCATAATTTGTCCCCAATTCCGGGATAGCTTCTCACGAAATCAAGGAATACGCGTAGCGTTATTAATGGTATAAATAATGTTGTAACTATTGTTATTGTGTGGTCGCAGCAGACCAATAGTAAGCAGAGACCGGAGGGGACCGCACGAAACTTCCTTGTAGGTAAGTTTAAGCAAGGATACAATATAAAGAATGGAGTATAGATGCTATTTCAATGCGAAACTACCAGGAGTGTGCGCAAAATCAAACGTGGCTAAACCTAATCTGAGAAAAAAGCGGTTTACTTCCCAGTTGTGTAGAATATTTAAAAACCACAGTGTTAATATTTAACTCCAAACAACATCAGGAAAGTAAAATGCATCAATGTGGGTAACGCCTGTGTAATGCTACATACTTTGATCCTCGGATTTCGCCTACTTATCAGTCTGTTCTAATCCCATAAGTAATGCTGTTAGTTACTGTAACGCCATGAGACGATGTAACACGATATGCAATAGTAAAGTGATATCTCGCCTCGACAAATTTCTACTTTTAACAGGATTCCTTTTGTGCTTCCAACGTATGCAACGCTTTCCACCTCAGGCAATTCGTTCATGGCTGCCACTCACTTCATAGCTTCGACTGTGAGGTCCCATTGAAAGTGAATAAGTTAACAAGACCTCACTTCACTTGGACACGATCCAAGTAGGGATGATCATGCTTTACAGCTGCATGAGGTTAGTCGTAGAAAACAAATCCCCGACTCTAACCGGAACCCAACACTACCAGGTCCCGAAAATCTTCCAGTTTATAGTAAACTATGGAACAATGGTTTTACACGGGTAAAAAGCTAAGCTTAACAGATCGCTTAGGATGGTAGTGGTGAATATTGCAAAATATAGAAAAAGGGTAGGGAAAAGTTTGTTCACCCCGGTGGACTCGTTGCGGTCTACGTACTATGTGCTCAAAAACGATTCGTTCAGATTCTGTGCTTGCCCTGGCCCTCTATCACGACGACTCGTTGAGGGACATGCCGCCGATAGTCCATCGATCACTACTGATCTGTTTTCCAATGACCTTGAAGTTTGAACTCTACCATTATCTGCTGTTTTATGTTAATCTTATTCCTAGCAGTTGTGGTGTTTTAGCCTGACGAGAGCCACCGAAAACGAGCTTGTTCGCTAACTTGTCTTTGTGATGTATTATCGATTGTAGATTCACTGTAAGCTCATAAGGAATGACGACAAAAGAGACGTCGGTAAAAATCAAGCAGTTGCCTGCTGAACACATATCAGATGTGAGAAAGGTGGTATGTATTCTGGGAGTTGACCGGCAGTGAAATCTCTGACACCTACTGGTGTTTGACAGTGAGCAATCAGTCATGTCAGATGGTGCAGAGAAATAAGTGCACGGTCAACTCGGGATTCAAACACTATCAGTGTGGGAGCCCAGATGACAGATTCAAGTTGGGCATTCCACGTTTGACAAACGCGTACGGAAAACTAATTCCGACGGCATTCCAAACGACTGCACTGCTCTGCCAACTTGAAGTGGTAGCCACCTAGATTGCTGTTGTGACTGAGCTCTAGCAAACGGCGGCACGTGTGGTTGGGATCTCCCAAAATAACCTCCTCACGCAATCACCCTTATTGTCCGCGGAACAATTTGAGTACACTTAGCCTTTGTTCAAACGACAACTTACACAAACCTGTGCAATTCTTGGTTGCGCGGCATTAGGGTATCTCCAAGGCTATGAGATTGTTCCACAGTTATGGCTGCCAGACCTGTATTGTGTATTTCACATGTGGATTTATGTATGATACGGAAAGCTGTTAAAGAATCGACGGGTCGAATCTTCCAAATGCACGCTTTAGAAGGCCAACGACTTGGATGCCCATTCTTGACGCCGTTTCAGCCTGATTCGAACATCCAAGATCTACCAGGACCAAAAGGCCCGTATCCTTTTCGCCAGAAGACCTTTGAAGCTCCTGGCTGCCGATTTGGTAGGAGCACACCAGCTGTTTCCGTAAGTGCAGCACTCTACATTTCTCCACTTTGAATCGAAATAGATTTTGGGTTGACCATGCGAATACCAGTTCCAGGTCCGCTTGAAGTAGTGTGATAATGTCTGGTGTATTTAGCGCTCTCCACACCTTAATGTTATCGGCATAGGACAAGCAGTTCAAACTTACGAGGCGTGTAATGTCGTTGATATACATCAAGAATAACCGTGGCCCCAGTTCCGACCCCTGTGGTACTCCGCATTCAATTTGGATAAGATTTGATAGGGAAGCACGCACGCTGACCTACAACCGTCGGTGCAAAGAAAGCTTCTGATCCAACCTTAGAGTGGATCACTAATAACAATGGTATGTAGTTTGGAGAGCAGAATACCACGGTCTAACCGGTTGACTAAAAAAACTACAACAACTCCTGTGCCAGGATTTACTACCTCCGTCCAGCTGGGTCGTGCCAGTAGTAGATTTGTAGTACATGACCGACTTCGTTCGAAGTCGTGCTGTTTTGTTGCT